GGCCTCCCCTAGGTGGACTCAGCCTCAAATTACTACCTGGTGCAGTGTGTGAAACATCGCCACTGGAGAGACAAAGGCGGCCGGGCGTGGTGCTCCTTTGTGTGCCCTGCCCAGCTTCGTAGAGGCTCGCTAACAGCACTTGGCCTAAAAAAAGTCTGTTAAAGGCTATACGGGGGATCTTTATACGTGTGTGTGTGTGTGTGCGTGTTTAATTGACCCGTTACTCCCAATAGCAAAACAAAAACCACTTTCCACATTCGCCCATGAAGCTGCCCGGACATTCCTCTGCACAGTAGCAGCGACGATCTCTCTGCTCTGAAGAAGGGCAATTTTCCGAAACGTCGCCAATTCAATAGATATCCTCCTGCTATTGGGGATACCTTGAAACGTACGGCTGTCAACAGCGACTCGGAGTGTAACTGTTCAGCGTGACAACTGAAGCGCCTTAATCGGGAAACGTAAAAAAAACATTATTCTCATCATTCCCCCACGGTGTGTATCATTACCCGCTCGATCTCTCTCGTCTCCTTATTTACCTGCTATGAAAAAGGCCCGTTGCCCGAAGCGTCGCCAGTTATGTTTTTGTTTTCCATTTAAAATCTCACGCACCACGCACCACGCACGCGCGGTGCTTACGTTGGACAGGACACGTTTCGAGTCACTGTTGATGCTCTTCTTGCTCACGACCAATCACGCGCACGCGCGTGCACGCGGCCCCACGTGGTAGCGCGTGCACGCGCACGCACGCGCGCGGCACCACGTGGTAGCGCGTGCACGCGCACGAACGCACGCGCGCGCGGCACCACGTGGTAGCGCGCACGGCGCCCCGGATCACAACGCGTTCGACAAACGCGAGCACGCTCCAATTCCATCATCGATCGATCGATCCTCCTCCTCCTCCTCTCGTTCGGCGTCCCACTTCCCTGAGCGACATCGCTGGTTGCTACACGTACGGAGGGGGGCAGGGAGGTGGCGGGGGGGTTCTACTGCCAGTCATGGGTGGTGGTGGTGGTGGTTGTGGGGGGTGGCGCAGTATGTCCATCTTGCTGTACTGCCACTAACCAGTCAGCCGCGAGGTCAGGTAACGATGTACTGCCTCAATCTTGGTCGGAAGCTTTCGTGACTGCAGGAATCCATACTCTTTGGTTCTTTCGTCGGTAAAGTCACGTGGGTAGAAATACAATAAAATAAAACGAATCACGACGTTTCGATCGCAACACAAGCGATCTTCACCAGGTGGAACGACCACGGCAAGAAAATGTTGAAGTTGGCGAGAGAGCTGCCGTGGCAGATCGCTTGTGTTGTGATCGATGCGTCGTGATTTGTTTTATTTTATTGTATTTCTACCCACGTGATACAGCAAGCGTGCTGTGACGGTTCCACCTGAAGACGGAAGCTTGTGTTGCCTTCGAAACGTCGTGATGTTATTTTTATTTAACTTTTATTAATTTTAATCTTTTACCTACGTGACTTTACCGAAAAAAACCTACCCCCCCCCCCTCCTCCTCATCTTCCCCGTAGCTCGGCACGGCGTCCGATCAGTTTCGTGAACGCGACGCTCCGCACGCGTGTCGTGGCAGAGCGTCGTGGGAACAGGCGAACGCCGCGGTGATGCGGGGGATAACCCCCTTCCCCCCTACCCCCTATCGCCGAAACCTATAATCCTCGATTTCACTCCTCTTGTCGGCGGTGACATGGGTGGGACTGATGCGCCGAGCTGTAGCTACAACCTCTGCGGGTAATAGGATCAATTAGCCACGCGGCTTCCGCTTATCCGTTAAAAAGAGCGTGGATAATAGGAGTAATCGATAACCCCTGCAGATAATAGGTTTCATTTTCCCCGCGACTTCTTCTTATCCACGAGATTTTTAAGGAGCCACTTCGCTATCCATTGTCGGTAAGATTAGCGGATCACAGAAGCAGTAGGGCCGTGGGTAATATGGGGTTTGGGGGACCCTTCAGCTGCCACTAATAAGAGGATTTGCGGGTAATAGGACCGCGGATAATAGGAGTTCTGTAGTAATAGGTTTTAACCCTTTTATCTGGTACAAAAACTGACAGCTTTGTATAAGGGATCGTGTTTGCAATAACCACAACACAAGCAGTCAAAATGCAAACAAAAATAAACAACTCTGAAGTTGATTTTCTTAGAGCCTAGTCTCTAGGCTCTAAGAAAAGCTGTCTCGGGTGTGGACCAATCAACTTCAAGGACAGTTTATATCATTATTATTATCAGAGTTGTTTCTTTTTGTTTGCATTTTGCCTGCTTGTGTTGTGGTTATTGCAAACATGATCCCTTGTATAAAGGTGTCAGTTTTTGTACCAGATAAAAGGGTACAAACCTACGATTATATTTTGCTACTGGTAGAGGAGGTCTCATAGCGTAGGAAATCTGTACCTCCATTCCGTGTCTCCAGATAGGTTCCGGTGTTTATATGGGGGTGCTTTTGCCGATTGCATCCCAATAATCCGGCAGCATTTGTTGCCACGAGCCTGACTCTGCTGATGAGACCCATGGAATCGAAACCGGTCCAACATTTTCGAGATCAAACCATTGCCGCGTGATAAAATTGGTCTTGAAAGCCACATGGGGTCGATGGCCTGGACAATATTTGTCTTCATAATTCCGCGAGATGTGTCACGACTCCTGGTCACGTGGCTGGGTGGCTCAGAGGTCAGGGGTCAGAGCCGGTTCTGGCGAGAACCTGGGTTCGAATCCCACTCATTACGTTGTCATGCAAAACATATATTTTTTTAATTAAATAAACAATGCAGGCCTCTCTTGAACATGAGTCATGCGGACTCGGTGTGAATTAGCTTGACAAAAAAAAATTATATTCAGATCTAAGAGCACTCTATTATGTAGACGAAATGAAGGAGTACATTTCGTGTGTAGCGGCGTGTAAGGCCGTCTGTGTGTGTTTATCTCTCTGTGTGTGACCGTGTGTGTGTGCGTGCGCGTGGGAGGTGGGGAGCGGTGGCGCATCGGTTAGCGCATTGCGCTACGAACCTGGCGACCCACGTTCGATTCCCGCTCAAGGCCACCAACACGTGGCGATTATCTGAACCGGTCCTGTGCCTCCTCTAGGTCGACTCGGCCTCAAACGAGTACAGTATCTGGCGCGGTGTATACAAAAAATAATCGTCACTCGGGCGTTGTGCTGGCCACCCACCCCTTCGCGTGTCCTGCCGATCTTCATAGGTGCTACTCGCTAGCAGCACTTGCCACAACAGTCTGCTGAGGCTTTACGGAGCATCTTTGTATTTATATTTGGTGGTGCCCGCTGCTACTATAAATTCCCACATATGGGCCATTTGTGGCCGGGTCGCTTCTGAAAAAAAAAACCATATAACTCAGTGGGGCTTTACCTGGTGAAAATGACAAAGAAATAATTAAAATACGAAAAAATATATTGCGGCTGCTCGCTAACGGCACTTGCCCCCAAAAGAACTGTTGCGACTATTCGGGGGATTTATCACGTGGCAGGCTTTCGCGACCAATATTATTCATAATCAACGTTTTTGGGTTTAGATCGCGTTATTTATAAATGTGTCGTAAACCTCCACCATCCGACACGGCCAATCAGTAAAAAGGTGTCACGTTGACAAAAGACAATTAGTTCACTGCTTTAGCCCTCTGTCTCCCGTTATTATATAGAACGGGAGACAGAGCAGAGCCTCACCATTCTGGCGAATTGCCCGATGATGCTGGATGCAATTACCAGCGAAACGTCGTACAACCCAAATTGTAAATGTTGTGGTTTCACGTTTCAACACACCGGTGGGCTAAAGCAGCGAACTATTTGTCTTTTGTCAACGTGACACTTTTTTACTGATTGGCCGTGTCGGGTGGTGGAGGGTTACGACACATTTATAAATAACGCGATCTAAACCCAAAAACGTTGATTGTGAATATTCGGGGGATCTTTGTCTGTGTGCGTGTTAGAGCATCATCCTCCATCTCCATTGTCATGCTAAACCGGGAGGGACTACGCGGTGTGGTGCCTCCCGCCTCATCAGAAAAGGTCACGCGTCTCACGCTCCCTGTCAGCGAGATGCCACGCGGAGAGAGAGAGCGAGGGGAGGAGGAGAGGGGGGGACAAGGACGTCACCGTAGCAGTTCGTAGCGTGGTGGTGTGCGGTGTGGTTCGTAGCGTGGTGGTGTGCGGTGTGGTTCGTAGCGTGGTGGTGTGCGGTGTGGTTCGTACGTTGGTGGTGTGCGGAGGGGGGGGGATCGGGGAGATTTGTTGATGACCCTGACGGAGCGTGGATAACAATGATGATGATGATAACAATAACGATGATGATGATTCTAACAATGACGATGATGATTATAACAATGATGATGATGATGAAGATGATGATAATAATGATGATGATGATGATAACAATGATGATGATTATAACAATGATGATATTGTTCTGGATGATGATGAATGTATTATTTTGAATGATGATGATAACAAAGATGATGATAATGATGATGATGAAATTGTTCCCGGATGATATTATTTTGAATAACGATGGTAACAATTATGATGATATTGTCCTGGATGATGATGATTATGATGATGATGATATTGTCCTGGATGATATTGTTTTGAATGATGATATTGTTCCGGATGAATATATTTGATACAATTATTACAATGATTTGGATTACTATGTAAATGATGATGATTATGGTTATAACCAAGGTCCATTTTGACGATGACGATTACGACGATGATGACAACATTTGCGATTGTGGAATAGGTTGTCGTGATTCGACGGCGAATCGCGTTGGCGATGAAGATGTTACATTTAATCACGACAATAGTGACGCTGACTCCATCGTGTTTATAGTGTTTGTCAGAATGTTCGCATTTTGGATATTTCCTCTCGCTCTCTCCTCTCCGCTCTCCTTCTCTCTGTCTCTGCTTTTCTCTCTCTCTGCCTTCTCTCTCTTTCCTCTCTCTCTCTCACCCCATCTCTCCCCATCCTCTATCTCTTCCACTCAGGCTCTCTGAAGGGGCGCTGCAAGAAAATTGATCATTTTCCTGAAGATGCCGACTTCGACTCAGCCGAGTATCTGATGCGTAAGTCCGAACCACGGCATTGCACCGTCAAAATCATCATCATCGTCATCATCATCATCATCCCCGCGCGTTCCACGCAGCACACCTGCGGCACGGGACACCCAACCCCCCCGCATTCCCCCCCCCCCCCCCCCAGCGGCAGTTGTCCCTGTGTGGTACAAGCTAATAATAATGATGATGTCAACATGAAACGCACTCGTAGAGAGAGAGAGATGACGACTCAGAGGCGCCAGGAGGAGGAATCACAGGCGAGCGGAAAAGAAGCAGCAGCAGCAGCCACGCGGTAAAGCAGCCGGTGCCAACAATTTCCCAAGGTCTGCGGGCCTCTAAATATTAAGTTGGCTCAGTGGTAGAGCGAGCCGCTCGCTATCATAAGATTGCGAGTTCGAATCATGGTTTGGGGGGCGCGTGGGTGGGTTGGGGGTGACTCCACCCATCATCCCTTCCTCGAGCGGTTGATAAACTAACGAACTGCTTTGTGCGGAGATTCTCCCCGTGGAAGCGTGTATTTTTCTCCGGGTCCTCCGGTGTCCCCCCCTCCACTCTCAGAATGAACATCCACGCATTTAGAACATTCGGCTCCTGCCGTAACTTTCCACGCGATGACGATAAACCACTTTTGTGAGGACCGGGTCGCTTCTGAAAAAAAGGTGCAACTCCGTAGCTCATTGGGGCCCTACCTGTTCCAATAGAATAAAATAATAAAAATAAAACATAATAAAATAATTCTCACGACGTTTCGGCCACAACGCAAGCAGCCGTCCTCAGGTGAAGACCAGGTCTGTCGGGGAGACAGCGGTCTCCCCGACAGACCTGGTCTTATTTTATTGCGGCTGCACTTAAGATTATTTCGATTATCTTGCTGCTGTAAATCTCCCCGTGATAAGCTTATTTGTTGTTGAGCTATCGCTTCTGAAAAATACGTTAACACCTCAGTGGGATTTACCTGGGAATGTACAAAAAAAGTAGATTTCGATTTAAAGCTTTCGTGACTGCAGGGATTCATCTTCTTGGTTCTTTCGGTAAAGTCACGTAGAAGGGAAGTAATAAAATAATAAAAAGAAAAATAATAAAATAATTCTCACGACGTTTCGGCCACAACTCACCTGAGGACGGCTGCTTGCGTTGTGGCCGAAACGTCGTGAGAATTATTTTATGATGTTTAATTTTTATTATTTTATTCCTTCCCTTCTACGTGACTTTACCGAAAGAACCAAGAAGAAAAAAATTAGTTTAGTTTTATTTGTTCAAGTGATTCGTTTATCTTTCCTACACTTTGCACTCCTTTCGAAGTCGATGTAATTTTGTTGTCGTCGTCACGTTCTGACGCCGCGCCCCTACGGGGACACCTTGTGGCAAAGAGCTTTGCAGCTCATCGGATTCCTCCAGTTTGAACAAAAATATTCTGATCAATAACCCTGACGGTGCCACTGCTGCTGCTGCCGTTGGTGATGCTGCTGCTGCTGCTGATGAATGATGATGTTGATAATTGTTTTTTTACCCTTCTATCTGGCAACAAAACTGACACTTTTTTTTACAAGGAGTCATGTTTACATAGACCACAATACCTGCAGTCGTAATGCAAACAAAAAACATAACTCTGATAATGTATGCACTGTCCTTGAAGTTGATTGGTCAAAAAAAAGGTGTCAGTTTTGTTGCCAGATAGAAGGGTAAAAAAACAATTATCATATTTCTTACTGGCAAATGAGGTTCCCATGGTGTAAATTATGATGTTGATGGTGTTACCCCCTCGCCCCCCCCACCCCACGCCGTGACCCCCCCTGCCCCCCCCCCGCAAGGCGTGGTGCGAGCCTCCAGTGTGTTCCCCATACTGAGCGTGGCGTTGCTTCTCTTTGGGGGGCTGTGCATCGCCGCGAGCCGCTTCTACAAATCCAAGAACAACATCGTGCTGAGCGCGGGGATCTTTTTCGTCTCTGCAGGTGGCACAGCACGCGAGCACACCAAAGACAAAGATGCCCCAGCCACGCCCCGTTTAGCCTTTTAGAGATTTTCGGGGCAAGTGCAGTTAGCGAAGTAGCAGCTACAAAGGCCCGAACCGCCACCGCCATCGCTATGGTCATTAAACCACTGTGGCTGATATTTAGTAATGACATCGCACATGCCATGCAGTACTTCTTAAGCGCCACTGCTACCACCACCCAACCATCACCATCAATCTACTCCCGCCACCACCAATTTACTACCACCACCAAACCACCACCACCACCAAACCACCACCACCAATTTATTACCACCATCACCAAACTACCACCACCAATCTACTACCACCACCAAATCACCACCACCACCAAACCACCACCACCAAGCCACCACCACTAATCTACTCCCGCCACCACCAATCTACTACCACCACCACTACCAAACCACCACCAAACAACCACCACCACCAATCTACTACTACCACCACCAAAACACCACCACCAAACAACCACCACCAATCTACTACCACCACCACCACCAAACCACCACCAAACAACCACCACCACCAATCTACTACCACCATCACCAATCAACTACCGCCACCAAACAACCACGACCACCACACGATGCAGGTAGTGGCAACATCATCATCGGCATCATCTTGGTTGTGCAACCACCACCACTACTACCATCACCAAAAAAATACAAGCGCCTTCACCACCACCACCACCATCATCATACAACCACCAAACTACTACAATTCCACCAGTACCACCATGATAATGATGATGACGTCCTAAGTGGCATCACTGCGTACATCTCCACCAGGCTACCACCACCAAACTAATACCATGCAGCCACTGTCATTAAACCACTACCACGCCACCACCATCAAACCATCACAGGCAAAATTATTACCGGCACCACCATTCCCATCACCACGAAACAACCACCACCACCGCCGCCAAACCACTACCTAGCACCACCACCACCGCTGCCACCACCATTGCAGCCACAACCGCAGCAGTCGACGAATCTCCTAACTCCCCCCGCTCGTTGTTGTTGTTGTCGTTGGCGGCGGTGGCGGCGCCGTGGCGGGCGCGGACGGGCCAGGTCTCAGCAACATCATCGGCATCATCGTCTACATCTCGGCCAACGTGGGCGACCCCAACCAAAGCCAGTCGAAGAAGAACAACTACTCGTACGGCTGGTCCTTCTACTTCGGCGCGCTCTCCTTCATCGTCGCCGAGATGGTCGGCGTCCTCGCCGTGCGCATCTACATCGACAACCACCGGCTGGAGCGGGCTCGCTTCCGCCCCGACTTCCTGCGCAAGTCGGCCGCGTCGTCGTCGTCGGCGGCCGCGGCGGCCGCGGCGGCCGCTCGAGTCCCGGCCGCCTACGTCTACCGCTACCGACGCCGCTCGCGCTCGCCATCGCGCTCGCGCTCCCGATCTCGCTCCAGCTCGCGCTCGAGCGAGGCGCCGCTGTCGTCCCTCCACCAGCAGCAACAGCAGCAGCAGCTGCACCAGCAGCAGCAGCAGCAGGGTTCCATGGGCATGCCCATGTCGATGCAAATGACCATGCCGCTGCAGATGACCATGCCGCTCTCCATGCAGATGACGATGCAGCAGCAGCAGCAGCAGTCGCGCTCGCGCGACGGTTCGCCCGTCGCGGCCAAGGGCTTCTCCTCCGTGGCCTCGCAGGGCCTGCAGGCCGCGGCGGGCCAGCAGGCCACGGCAGTTGCGGGCCAGTCGCAGGCGTCGGCGGGAGACATCGCCATGTACACGCTGGGGCGCGGAGACGCCGGCGGGAAGCAAGTTGGAGGCGGAAATGTGGCGGTGGCCGGTGGCGGCGGTGGCGGCGGCGGCGGTGGAGGAGGAGGCGGGGGAGGGCCCTTCAACAATTCAGGAGGAGTTGGAGTAGGAGCGGGAGGAGCTGCCGGGATGAACGTGGGCGGGGAGGGAGGATTCGTGCAACACTCGCACAACTGCGTGCACAAGGAGATGCAGGACACCCTCACGTCGACCATCACGAACCGCAGGACCACGCCGGTGTGACGGGGGCCCTCCTGCTCCTCCTCCGCCTCCGCCTCCTCCTCAACATCCTGCTCGTCGTCGCGGGAATCCAGGATGGGCTGCGTAACAACGACCGAGTGGAACTTTTCACGTTTGTATCTATCATTTTTTTTCCTTCAAGCTTCAGAAATCCGAGTGCGTGCCCCGGTAGGCCTAGGCAGTTCCGGCGCGGCTCGTGAGGCGCCATGGTTTGGTGGCTTTTTTTTGCCCTTCCACTGCAGAAGCCGAGCCGAGCCGCCGACTTCACGAACGAGTTGACGCGCGAGGAGACGGCGCGACGACGAGTTCGTGTGCCCACGGAATGGGTCGAGGCGCACGTTGGCCACGCGGCGACACCGTCTGTGTGCCCATCACCACCTCCACCCCCACCCCCACCGCATCCGTATTGGACGACGTCACGCGACGCCACGAACGCGGTCATTCGCCCCGCCCCTGGCCCTGCTTGGCCCCCCACCTCCGGGGGCGTGTCACGGTTTCGGTTCTGGCTCGCTAAGGGCGAATGGACAGGGACGAGCTGCCATGCCGTTACCGCCTGTGGGAGCCACCGTGCTGGCTCGGCTCGGGTGATGTGCCAGTGGAAAAAAAAAAAGGACGCTGCCGTTGTGTTTCCCCAGCGGTGGCCGCGTTGAAAAGGTAAAGGCGGAGCCCTGCAATTGCGCACTTGCGCCACTGCTGGGCTGAAGGGTGTGCCTCCTCGTCTCAACCTCCTCTTGGCCAGACATCTAGGAAGAGGTGGGAGTGACGATGCCGTCTGCTAGCGTCTATCGCGCTTTCAGCAGTGTGTGTTGAGGTCTGGTCACTGGGTGTTGAGATCTGGTCACTAGGGTGTTGAGGTCTGGTCACACTGAGTGAGGTCTGGTTACACTGATTGAGATCTGGTTACACTGAGTGAGATCTTGTTACAGTGAGTGTTGAGATATGTCCACTGGGTGTTGAGATCCGGTTAATGGGTGCTGAGATCTGGTCACTGAGTGTTGAGATCTGGTCGCTGTTGAGATCTCGGCACGCTATGCGCTGAGGATCATATTGGAAATCAGGTTGAAAGTTTATGCATATTTGTGACCACTTGGGCTTCATTGATGTGTTGAATATAAAGTCATTGCCTGTAAATATTTGGCCAAAACATCAGCGGAACAAACTGCCTGTCCGAGAACGCATGCGTTCAACTCTACCGTGGATTGTGGAACTCAATGCGCGCACAGCAACTATTTTTTTATTTAACCAGGAGCAACCCGGCTACCACAAATGATAGCTCAACGAAGTGGCTTATCGCCGTGTGTAAACTTATCGCAGCCAAATACTCCAAACGCATGTCGATTCTAAACGTGGAGGGGACAAACCGGAGGGCACCTGAGAAAAATCCACGCGACCACGTGAAGAGGGTCACGGGATCGAACCCACGACCTCCTGTGTGCCAGGCGAGGTAGTTAACATCTCGCCACAGCGGCACCCCTATGGCAAGTAAGCGCAGGGCTCAACGTGAGAATGTCCTGTCACTCTTAAACTCGCCCTTGTGTGATACTGTCGAGCAGCGCTCCCCAAACTTTTTGGCACCAGGGATCGTTTTTTTCACGGACGGGGGGGGGGGGGTCATCATTGGGTCTTTCCCCCTTTTCAAAGAAGCTCTCCAGCGACGTTTGTTTTTTACTCATTTTGGCTACTAGGGGTTAGCAGCTTGTGGGCTTAGCAAAACTGTGACTGAGACGAGCGCGCGGTGTGGGAAAAAGGCGCGGACGGAAGTGGAAAATAACAAAATAATTGGGGCGGGCCATGCGCGAACTCAAGTTTCAAGTTTCATTTATTAGGTATAGCCCTGTGAGCCATTCGGCTCTTGAATCGGGTGCAACCGCAACAAACAAAAAAGCTAAAACATGAACAAGAAAACATCTTACTCACCGCTCTCACCTCCTGCTGTGCGGCCCGGTTCCTAACAGGCCACGGACCGGTACCGGTCCGCAGCCCCGGGGTTGGGGACCGCTGCTGTAGAGGATATCGCTGGAACTCTCCAAACCATAGCCACGGAACTCTCCATGGGTTTACACCATTGGAACCTCATTTGCCAGTAAAAACATATTTTTACTGGCAAATGAGGTTCCAATGGTGTAAATGCTTTCCCCGAGCTCTTATACTCTGATGGTGCATTGTCTTTGAGTTGTGCGTCTTTTGGCGTCATCTGGTCCAACACCATGTGAGACTAGGCTCTAAGGAAAGCTGTCTCGAGTGTGGACCAATCAACTTCAAGGACAGTGCATATCATTATCAGAGTTATGTTTTTTGTTTGTATTATGACTGCAGGTATTGTGGTCTATGCAAACATGACTCCTTGTAAAAAAGGTGTCAGTTTTGTTAGCAGGTAAAAGGGTAAAAAACCAATTATCTCCATGGGTTGTTGCCACGCTGTGATGGTCGCTCCCTGATGCTCGTGGAACTTGCCGGAAAAGCCCTCCCAGTTGCCCGCCACTCGCCGGTCATGTTCTCTCGATTGCAATCCATCACATCCTAAACGCTTACGTTTGCAAGCATTAAAGACACGTACATATATCATTCCTTGAACGACGGTTTCTTGTGGGGTTAGATCGCGTAAACATAAATGTGTCTTCTTGGTTCTTTCGGTAAAGTCACGTAGAAGGGAAATAATAAAATAATAAAAATAAAACATAATAAAATAATTCTCACGACGTTTCGGCCACAACGCAAGCAGCCATCCTTAGGTGGAGAATTATTTTATTATGTTTAATTTTTTTAATTTTATTATTTCCATTCTACGTGACTTTACTGAAAGAACCAAGAAGATGAATCCCTGCAGTCACGAAAGCTTTACATCGAAATATAAATGTGTCGTTAAACCGACCACCACCCGACACGGCCAATTAGTAAGGTTTGTCACGTAAACAAAACGTGTCGATTAGTTGCTACTTCAGCACACCGGTTGTGCGTTGGAGAGTGAACCCAGAACATTAACAATTCGAGTCCCGTGACTTTTCGCCTGTAATTACAACCAGCATCATCGGGCGCCTGATGAGGCTGGATGGGTAAAATTGTTCGTGAGGACTTACGTGTTGGTCTTGAGTTGAACACAATTTTCACAATCACGGGGTCAGGGAACTTTTTGCTTTTTTACCGAGGGGCCGAACGCGAGACTTGCAAATACCTTTAAGTGGACTACGGCAAAGATTCCCCCGTGTAGCCTGAACAGGCTGTTAGAGCAAGTGCTTGTTGAAGACCGTGGCATGTGACGGGGGGCGGAGGGGGGGGGTGATGGCCAGCACCACGACCCGACTGTAGATTTTTCTCCGCAGCGTTGATGTTTACGCACTGCACCGGGTGCTCGTTTTTAAGGCTAAGTCAGCCCGATGGGAGAGGGCCTCCTTCTCGTACCCGATTTGGCGCAGCTAGGATGCTCGCCGGCCACGTCACCGTTTGTTGGGACGCCCCACGTGATCGTGGCAACGCGCACCCCCTTACTGGACGCCAGTGAAAAAAAGCTTCATAGCTCATCGGATTTCTTCCTCCGGTTTAAAGAAAGATTCTGATTCTGAAATAAATGAACGAAGTCGCGGCCCGTGGTCTGAGCCGTCGCCCAATCAAACTCTCCCCCCCTCCACCCCCATTCTATTTTTTTTTTTACAGAAATTGACATTTTATCCACGCTTTTATTTTATAAAAAAATTTTCCAAATGTGTTTTGACTCGAATACAATGTAGCACTTATTTCAGCAGAGTGGAAGGAAATCCGATGGCTGGCTCTCATACAGTCACCTAATGCTTCCCCTATCCCCGTCACATTTCCTACGGAACCCGACAAGAACATTTAATATTTTCAGTCATGGCAATTGAACGAACGCAATGCTCCCCATCATTTTTTTTATTGCATCTCGCCCTCGCCCCCTCCCCATCTTTCGCATCGATACAACAACAACAACAAAGTCCCAAAAAATCGTGCTTAGATATGACAATTATTTCGGACAATCCGAATTTGTTTGCGTAAAATTATTTCGGATAAACACGTAAATAGGAAGTGACGTAACATCCGTGCGCTTGTCCCACCTGAAGAAAAACTGAACTAGACTACTTTTGTTTTACCAGGGGTAAGGTCCCACTGAGATATGTAGCTTCCCTGGCCATCGCAAACGAGAGCTCAACGAAGTGGCTCATCGACACTTGGACATTCATAGCAGCAAAGAAACATTTGAACGCGCGATGTTGTTAATTCTAAATGTGGAGGGATAAACCCGGAGGACCCAGAGAAAAATCCACGCGGCCACGGTGAGAGAGGAGGGAGAGAGTCACGGAAACTCTACGTATACAGCAGCAGGCGTCAGGGTCTGGATCGAACCCACGACCTCCTGCATACCAGGCGAGGCAGTTAACATCTCCTAGCCACCATGGCGCCTGGTGTCGAGATATCGTCACCACTTTCGCTGACACGCAAACGCGTGAACGAACAAGGTGTGGTTACTTGCAAGGGATCGGGTAAAAAAAAAAGAAACCAACAACAAAACTTAGGTGACAAATTGTCCTTTTGCAAAATAATTTTTTTAAATCGGAAATCAGGAAATGTGACATTCGAAACTCGCCCTGGACTTGCGTCTAACACCTGGGCACCTCGTCAGCATCGTTTCGAGCAAATCGTGCGCTCCCAGAAGGCCGTGTGGCTAGTGAGAAGTAAAAAAATACAAACACAGATTTAAATTTATTTTACGTAAAAAATAAAATCTGTTTGTATTTTTTCCTCTGGTGTCAACACAATACCAATTTTCGTGGTCTCAATAGGGTGGGAAGGGCGGTGGGGGGGGGGGGTTATTGCCCCATCCACCCCCCCCCCGGTTCCGCTCCTGAGCATCTTAAAATGTTGCCCGCGTAACGCAATCGTTCAGTCTGGTGCGTGGTCAGCTCAGGGAGTGCGACAATCGGTACGGTTGGAGAGGGGGGGACGGCCCCAATTTTTTATTTGTCTCTCACGTTGTCTGTCAAGGGGGGCACCCAACTAAAGTTGTTTTATTTTTATGTTTGTTGTTATTTTACCAGCTAAGGCCCACTGAGCTCCACACCTCTTTCTTTTCAAAAGCGGCCTGCCCGCCACAAGCGATATCGCTCAACCGAGTGGCGGTATCGTGCGGGCGGGCGGCTATCGAGTGTGCAGGCGGTGCAACTGCGTCTCGGGGTGAGTGCAGCGGTACGAAGAGGGTAGAGGACGGGGGGCGGTGATGGTGGAAGTTGGACAGGTGACTCCTGGTTGCATTGCGAGCAGCGTGGTGTGGGGTGGGCCCGGCCCCCCGTGCCCGCCAAGGTTCAGTGCCACCGCTGGCGATGTGGCGCTGTGAGCAGGGAGGGTCATGGCGCCATCTGACAGGTGGTCTACGGCATTCGTGGCATTACCACGAAGTGAATGAGACATCGAAATTGCCTCGTGGGTTCCCCGGTGCTGCCGCTGCTGCTACGTCGCCCTCCGATGCGTTTTCTCTTACCGGGAGGAGCGGGGGGGGGGGGGTGTTGTTCGGCACGATGTCCGACGTTTCGCCCCACGTGCCTGCCGGGAGATTTCGCCGTCTGCACAACCGGGCAGCTGTGCCGGTGACACGGCTCATGAAGAACGGGCGTGGGGGGCGGGGCGGGGGGGGGGGCGACATATCAACGTAATGTGTTGGGCCATATTATTATTATAAATTGTTATTATAAAACGATGACGATTGTAATGATCGCCAATAATACGCAACTGCCAAAAAACAAACGGGGGCTTTTAATGTCTTGGCGAGGCTGGCGGATTTCTCTTAACGAGGGCACGGGATCCCCGGCGAAGACCCGGGAGGAGATGGCCAACGCGAACGATGTCCGAACGATTTTGGCAGCTGCTCCCCGGCATGTGCAGCGAAACGTCGGACAACGCGCGACCCCACCCAGAAACGCGTCGGTGAACGACGCAGGGGCATGTGAGCTGCCAATCGACATCGAGCAGCTGCGATGCGGCCGAAAACAAGTAAAATAACCCCAGCGTTAAATTTCGATTTAAAGCTTTCGTGACTGCAGGGATTCATCTTCTTGGTTCTTTCGGTAAAGTCACGTAGAATGGAAATAATAAAATAATAAAAATAAAACATAATAAAATAATTCTCACGATTTAAAGCTTTCGTGACTGCAGGGATTCATCTTCTTGGTTCTTTCGGTAAAGTCACGTAGAATGGAAGTAATAAAATAAATAATATTAAACATAATAAAATGATTCTCACGATTTAAAGTTTTCGTGACTGCAGGGATTCATCTTCTTGGTTCTTTCGGTAAAGTCACGTAGAATGGAAATAATAAAATAATAAAAATAAAACATAATAAAATAATTCTCACGACGTTTCGGCCACAACGCAAGCAGCCGTCCTCAGGTGAAGAACAGGTCTGTCGATAAGACTGTCAATAAGACAGACCTGTTCTTCACCTGAGGACGGCTGCTTGCGTTGTGGCCGAAACGTCGTGAGAATTATTTTATTATGTTTTATTTTTATTATTTTATTATTTCCATTCTACGTGACTTTACCGAAAGTACCAAGAAGATGAATCCCAGCGTTTCAAGGGCCGCAATGCCACGCTTGGTGAATACGAGAGGTCTGTGGGTCCTGAAATAAAATCACGTTCAGATTATCGACGCTTTAAAGAGCCGCAGGTTTTTGCCGACCCGCCCACCCCGCTCTGATCTATTGCTGATGCGTGTGGATAGGGAGGTCAGGGAGGAGATGCGTTAGATCGGGGGAGGTGGTGGTGGTGGCGGCGGCGCCGGGGGAGGGGAGTTGGGGAATTGAGAAAAACTTGCACCCATTGTTTCAGCTTCCACGCCGGGAGATTGTGATCGCATCGAATCGCAGCGGCGACTTCTGGCACGAAGCAAATTGGGCGCGTACGCCGCCGATAAATCTCGCCCACCGATCAATCGAGCCCACCGATCAATCGAGCCCACCAGGACACGGCAGGGTACATCTGTAGCCACGGGGATGATCGTGGGAACGGTTGGGTTTTTGTTTGTTTGTTTGTTCTCTCTTTAACGCGGTTTCATGAAGATGGAATCGCCTCTTCATGCATTAAAGATGCGTTCATAAATATATGAGCGGAGATATATTTATCCAATCAGCCGTGACCAAAGCGTTATTTATATTTATTTATTTATTTCGCCCGGTCACGTGATGCAGATTGAGGAGGACGGCATTTATTTTCGCAGCTGCAGCGCTTTGTAAAGGGCACGGTGGTTTATACGCTAGATTTGAAGCTTTCGTGACTGCAAGGATTCATATTCTTAGGTTTTTTCGGTAAAGTCACGTAGGTAAAACATCAAAGGTTTGTACACGAAGCCATACAAATATACAAACACAGACATAATTTCAACCGTGATGACGGTTACAAACTGAGTAATCATTGGAAAGATGTGATTAACCATGCAAAAAAGATTTAACTTACCATGTTTAGTGGTTGTCTCCTTGTCACAGGTTGAGTCACAAACCGTACCTCTCCATAACAAAGGCTCACCCTCTTAAGCCTCACCTTACCATATTAATAAAAAGTGTGCTGTATTTGGCCCTTACCCCCCCCCCTTCTCCAACCATTATATAAACGGAGTGGTAGCTCCTGCAATTTCTCATTTACTTGATACAGCTGTCGTGGCTGTGACGGTTCCACCTGAAGACGGAAGCTTGTGTTGCCTCCGAAACGTCGTGATTTTTATTTTATTTTACTTTTATTAATTTTAATGTTTTACCTACGTGACTTTACCGAAAAAACCTAAGAATATGGTTTATACACTGTTGGATTATATACTGGCCAACACACGTATTCTGGCATAAGGTATTCCAACGGGTTTAATGTAATTTTGGGGTGCTGATTCCAAATCTGGCATCAGTTTTTGTCTATCACATCAGGTTTTTGAGATATCAAATATTGCATTTTCAATAAAAACTGCAGAAGAAAAATATTAAATAAATGTGGATATCTGCGTAAAATTATATTATAAACACACTATCCTAAAAATACAGCACCATATTTTAACACTAAAGCAGTCACTGACTCGCAACAACTTGCAATCATAAGTGACAGAGTTAATTTCGGGTAAAATCAATGAAAATGGGGTATGCCGATAGCATAAAAATGAAATGTGATAGAGCAAATCTGAGATCAGATTTGGAATCAGCACCCTGAAATTAGTCTAAAACAGCTGCAAAAGTCCAGGCGAGAAAAACATTTGCTTTTTTTTGTTGACCAGTGAATTATTGATGCTTCACAACCGGCACCGCCGCTGCCGCCACGACCGTCCGCTGTTGGCACAGCAACCACCTTGGGATTATTGGGATTCTTAAACCTAAGGGGCCGTCCATAAATGACGTCACGCACCTGGGGGGGGGGGTCAGACATTTGTGACGATGTGTGACGAGGCGGGGGGGGTGTTTGATAAATGTGAGGTCACATCAAAATGCAGTAACTTTAAATGAATATAGACAACATGTTCTACTTTATTAAATAGACATTTTAATAAATACAACATCGGAGTGCAACGCTACATTAAATACGCACTACAATGACAATAGTTTAAAGCGATTTGAAGCATGTTTTATTTTCAAAATGGAATATGGTTTGGGGGGGGGGCAGAGCTTTGTGACGTCATTTATGGACGGCTCCTCTGTCACCAACACTGCCGTCACTCATCACCATCACCACCACCATCATCACAACCACCATCACCACCATCACCACCACCACCACCACAACCACCATCACCACCACCATCACCACCACCACCGCCACCATCACTACCACCATCACCACGACCATCACCACCATCACCATCACCACCATCACCACCATCACCACCACCACCATCACACCATCACCACCACCATCACCACACCACCATCACCACCATCACCAACGCGTCACCCCCTCTTGGCTCGCACGCGCTGTGGAGTGGTGGTGCGGTGCTTAGCGCACTGCGCTGTGGAGTGGTGGTGCGATGATTAGCGCACTGCGTTGTGGAGTGGTGGTGCGGTGATTAGCGCACTGCGCTGGGAACCGGGCCAGTTGAGGTCGACTCCCGGGCACCGTTGACATCAGTGGCGATGCCCCCCATCCCCCTCCCCCTCCCTTCTCTTCACCAACCCTGCACTTTGCTTTGCTTATGCCGTGTTGCATATGGCAAAACAAATGTAAAGGTGTCCCGAGTGGCTCAACGTGGCTCCAGGTTTTGCGTGCAAGGTATCCAATATCCAATAGAATACGTTGGGGGGGGGGGGGGTGTGGGGGGTTTGTTTCGTGCCAAGCAGCGTAAATGTCGAGTCTGGGAAATTCATGGCAGTGTAGCCCTGAGATTGGCCTGGTGGGGGGTGGTGGGGGGGAGGGTGGGGGGTGGTGGGCACACGGGTTGAAAAATTGTGGGGAGCCGAGACGTTGGAGCATACAAAGTGTAGTACAACTGTGAATTTTCTGCACTTACACCGCGATATTGATTTACTTATTTGAAACAATCTTACTGCTGTAAGAAATACGCAGAAATCTCTTTGTTTACAAAATGACAATATTGTCCGGATTAGAAGACGCTCCGGAAAGTAAGACGCACCCCCCTCCCCCCAAAACCGGTGTCGATGAAGTTGTGCAAGCCTGGCATCACGCACACACAAAGCCACTGGGTTTCTAAGTGCGTCTCAGAATCCAGAGAACACAGTGTGTTTTGTTCGTGTGTACGTGTTTGTTAACTTGCGCGGGACGAGAAATGTGAAGATAATGATCAACACGGTCCAGAAAATCCCCCTAACCCCCCCCCCCGCCCAAGAGAAAAACAATCGATTACTTTTTTTTGTTATCAGCCCCTCCAACAGCAACCACTCAACGAGACAATGACCACTCGTGTCGACCGGCGTGGCAGAAAGAATAAATAAATCAATCTTCAGACACTTGCGGAGGCTGGCGCGCAACGTCAACATCACCAACAACAACAACATCATCATCATCATCGCGTCGCTCGCTGCAAACGCCAAATCATCAGCAACTTTGCTGCCACTGAGATGCGGGAGATTAATTGTATTTATTTGGTTACTTGCTCACTCATTTTGCCCATGCATGGAAGAACGAAAAACTATTTGAAAAATAAAAAAATTCAAGTCACCGACGATTCAAACCTCTGACACTCCCCGCGGAATGACATTTTCTAGACATTCGTCAAGAACTAACGGAACATTTAATGAAATATAAATATTCTCGCAAAACGTGCATGGAGAATCATCCGGAGGATTTTTTTCAAAATTCCGGACGCACTTTTTGTCACGGCAAAGAAACTGCCGGATTTAAAAGGAACAACAACAACAATAACAACAACAATAATAGCCCTGACGATCGCGGGAGGAGATGTGGCGGAGGGGATGGGGGGTACAGAGAGAAGGGAGGGAGGAAGGGGGAGGGGTTGTGGTGATGAGACTCTTCAACGTGAACCGCGAAAGGTTACAGCCGTCTGCTCCGCTCTTCGTCCGTCCGCACCAAATCAAGCGAGAAGGAATCTCGATTTTTTTTTCGTGTGTGTGCTGGTGGGGGGGCTGCCGAGTTCGGTGGGGGGCGATCTGAATCATGCCCCTCCCCCATCCCCTTCTCCCC